GGGGGGGGGGGGGGTCCTGGGCTCCAGGCCATGACCCAGCAGTGTGGGGCGCTTTGGGGCAAAGCCAGCTGCAACTCACACACAGCTCAGGGCCCCTGGAGCTGGTGCAATCCCTGCTCAACCATCCCCCATCAGCTGGCACAGCCACCCCGCCCTGGGTGACCAGGATGCAGCGAGCTACGCCAGGGCAAGGCGCCAGCACAGCCCCTGCCTGCGTGCCAATTTTGGAGCCGGTGCGGGTGCACGGCCCACAGCGGCTGAAAGGAGCCCACATGGCGCTCAGACACCAACTGCCACCTGGTCTGGGCCGTGAGCTCCGCCTCACAATGTTGGGTTGGGTTCCATCCCTTCTCCAGTCAACAAAGCAAACTCCAGGCTCCCTCTGTACCCACGGGGGACGCGTCCCAGGGCCACAGAGGACACCTGAGGGGAGATGGCACGAAGCTCTGTGCAGCATTTAGTTCTGTTCAATATGTGCACACCTGTGACCAGCTTTAACTTACGAGCCAGGCAGATTCAGAAATAGTAACAGACAATAAAAACCCAATAAACACACTGTTGCTATAAGCTGTAAACAATTAGGGAAAAAAGGTAACGAAATACACAATTGCAGCCATGTACTATATTAAGAGGAATGGGGAATGTACTCTCTCTGAACAGAGTCCTGGCAAGTATTGACATCTTCATACTGTGGTGTGAGGGATACATAGAGGAAATCTGTGAGGTTGGGGGCGAGGCACGCCTGTTATCAACACTCTGGGAGGCCGAGGCAGGAGAATCACATTTGTGACCTCGTGAGACCCGGCCTCAAAATAAAAAACAAACTAGCCAGGTGTGGTGGCTTCCTACAGCACGCACTCAGGAAGGAAAATTACCGTGAGTTTGAGGTTATCCTGGGCTGCATAGTGAGTTAAAGCCTACCCTGAACTACAGAGTGCAACCCCATCCCCAAAAAACAAAACAAAACAAAAAAGAACTACGGATAGTGGTGCATGTCTTGAAATCCCAATACTTGGGAGGCCGAGGAAGGAGGATGGTGAGTTCACAGCCAGCCTGAGTGGCCAAGGGAGTTCAAGGCTGGCCTGGAACAGAGTGAGACTCTGTTGCAAAACCCAAACCCAAACCAAACCAAAACCCCAAAGTGGCATCTCTGTGTTCACAGGGCTTCAGCACCTCCCACACACAGCCTGGGGCCGTGGAATCGGTGGGTGGGCGTCTCTGCCATGAGTGCCAGCCCAGCATGTGTGCGCCAGGGGTCCCCCCCGGCACGGCAAGGAGGGAGAGGGAAAACCTCCGCGGTAAGGTCACACAACACGCACGGACAATGCTCCGAGTTCTGGATTATTCCCTTGGGGTGGTCCCGTGTGGGAATCACCCGGGGGCTGTGAGGTCACTGCCAAGTGTCCCCGATGTCCCCGCCCAGAGCTGCACGCTGACCACCCCGCTGGTGGCACTGAGGCCTCCGCCGCACCTGTTACAGAAGTAGACGGCATTGGTGGGGTTCAGCTCAATGGCCTTGCCGTAGAGGTGCACGGCAGCCTCAAAGTTCTCCATCTTCATCTGCTCGTTGCCTGCAGAGAGGTGGGGGACGGCTGTTCACGCAGAGCCGGGCAGGACCCCACGCTTCCACCCGGGCTCTGGTGACGGGGGACCCACGCAGTCCCCGTGCGGCTTCCCCAGTGCCGCACTCCCATCGGCACCGTGAGCAGCCTCGCCAGGGAGCAGAGTTAGTGGCCACGGTGCTGTGCGCATCTCAGGGACAGGAGACGGAACACGCAGACGGGGCTGCAGGACGCAGGCCCAGACCACAGCGCTGTCCTCTGGGCGTCCGCAGGATGTGTGCCAAGACCCCTGCCCACCAGGACTGGCAAGTGCTCAAGCGCCCTGCACAAAACTATCAGAGGGTGTTTGTACAGAACCTGTGCGCCACCGCCTCCTACATACTTTTACCCAAGACCTTTACACAGAGCTATGTAATCGGCCCTTTTTTATTTTGAGACAGGGTCTCCCTAAGTCACTAACTGCCCGGGCTGGGCTCAAACTTGTGACCCTCCTGCCTCTGCCTCCCAGAGTGCTGGGAACCACCTCCAGATAACTCGGACTCCTAACACAACCCCACAGGAACAGCTGTTACGCTGTCCTATCTGTCAAGGGAAACGTCTGCGCGCTCAGTATTAGCATCACTTTCCCGGAACGTTTCACCTGTCAACGGCTGAATCGGCCAGGTGGAAACCTGCATATGCGGTGCCCACGGCTACGGCGGACGATTTGTCAATTGCACAGGCGACCCCGTCTTTCTTGGCAGCGCGGGTCCCATTTCAAGGGGCTGGGCGGGTGCGGACCGGGCCCTGCAGTAGTCTCACAAAGCCCTGCCCTGACCCCGGCCACACGCCGCGGGCCCCTCCCTCGGGGCCACCCCTCACCTTCGGTTTTGAGGCGCTCCGCCTCGGCAGAGTCCTCCTCGGAAGGCGGGGTCCGCTCGGGGTTCCTCAGGTCCTTCAGTGCCTCCTGCTCAGACCAAGACAACCCGCTGTGCCTCGCCCAGACCCGCACCTTGCAGCCCGTCGTGCTCGGGTGGCCGCCAGCTCAGAGGCAGGGGCCCAGGCCGAGGGTGCCGTCCCCGCGGGAAGGCCTGGCTCACCTTGGCCGAAGCGGCTGCTTCAAATATCTCCGGCAGGGTCTGGGGCAGCGCGAGGTCGCCGTCCTCCACCGTCACCCCGAACGCAGTCTCCAGGCACTGAATGGCAACTGCGAGTGGGGACGGTGCCTCTGTCACGTGGCCTCCTCCTCACGACGCCCGTCGGCCCTTCCCGGCGCTGCGCGGGGCTCCCCGCTCCCAGCACCTCCACAGCAGGGCCGCCCCTCGAGCCCCAGCCCCAGCAGGCCGTGTACCTTCCAGGCTCTCTTGGGCGTCGGACGAGAGCCCGCCGTGCCGCAGCTGGTCGTGCAGGAACTGGATGATGGCGTAGGCCAGGCGCTTCTTGTTGTCCATCTCGAGTCGCAGGAGGAGACGCCTGGGATTCGGGATCTGTGGGGCCACGTGGACAGCTGGGCGGCACTGAGTCACGGGCTGCTCCTGGGACCCCTCTGCCCGCACTCTCAGCTCCAGCCACCAGATCAGTCCCACACTCGCCAGCCGAGCGCCCCACAGTTTTAGCACGCCTGTGTCTAAGATGGGGACCCCGGGCTTGGGGTCACAGAAAACGACCTGGTCCCGAGCACCACGGGCACCTGGTCCACAGCCAAAGCACTTGCCTCTGAGAAGCCCCTTCCTCAGCCAGTCTGTCTTTCATACATTCTGCACTACTGGAGATTAAACCCAGGGCCCTACCACTGAGCCACATCCTCAGCCCTGTTTATTTTATTATGAAGCAGGGTCTTGCTACGGTGCCCAGGCTGGGCTAAACTTGTGACCCTCCTACCTCAGCCTCCCCGAGGGCTGGGATGACAGGTGTGCCGCTGCAGGTGGCTGCTTCTCTTTTCTGGGTGAGCAGCAAGCGCCTCGCCTGGACAGGGCGCCTGCCTCTAGCTGGGACCGTCTGGGACCACGCCTGGGCCTCTCTGAGGACGGCTTCTCCTCTGCGCCCCTCTCCCGGAGCTCAGCAGATACTTAGCTTATGTCCATGGTCCCCCAAACCCCTGTCAAAGCTCTAGAGGCGCCAAACAGTGAGGCCAGGAGGGGTCTTACTTCAAAGGTGATCTGGTGCCCAGACCAGCATGGACGAGCCCTGGACATGGGATCGTCGCAGTGCTCAGTGGGACGCTCAGGTGGCAGGTGCCGTGGAGGAGGGACAATGGGGGTGCCGCTCAGGACCAGGCCCTGCCGTACCGCTGCGCCACCTCGGGCAAGCCTGGCGCAAGTCAGCATCTCCCCCTGGAGGCCAACGGTAACACAAAACCTTCTGACGTGACAAAAACCAGAGGAGAGGCGACACACAGTGCCGCCATGACGGGGCTGGACAGTGCCCCCAAGACACGCTCCCGCCCTTCAGAAGCAAGGCCCCCTGGGATGTGAGCCAGGCCAGAGGAAGTCACGAGGGTGGTGACAGGAGTCCTCGGAGGGGCGGAAACGGAACACAGGTACGGGGAGGTGGTCACGTGGTGATAAAGTGTCGCAGCCACGAGCCAAGGGAGGCGCCTGTGGCCTGCTGAGGAGGCAGGAAGGACGTTCCCTGGGGGCTCCTGCAAGTGTGGCCCACGCACCCCTGATTTTAGACTCCTGGGTTCTCGGCCAGGAGAGGCTCCATCACTGCTCAGATGGGATTTTTCTTTTTTCTGTGCTACTGGGGATTAAGCCCAGCGCCCTTTTGCTAAACTACATCGCTGGCCCTTTTTTTATTTTGAGACAAGGTCACATTAAATTGCTGAGACGGGGCTCAAACTTCCAATCCTCCTGCCTCAGCCTCCCTGACAGTGGGAGGACAGGCGAGTACTACCACACCTAGCTCATCTTAGCTATTTTCAGCCCACCAGCTTGTGCACACCTGTTGGCAGCCCAGCCCTTGAAGGCAAAGGGCCCAGAATGGCAGTGCGTCACCCAGATCACGGCCGGAGATCCTCAAGCCCACGAGGCTGGGAGCTGGATGACCTGTTGGGCTCTGAACCTCGGTTTCCCTGTCTGTGACACAGAAGTAATACTGCCACCGTGGCTGTGTTTGGGTCAGGAAAAAAATAACTGGGAAGCCCACAGCCCGGTTCTCAGTGCCCAGTGTGACTCTTGGGAAACTCCCGTCTGGGGGCCGTGCCCTGTGGAACCTCTCCACAGGTAACTGGTCATGGCTGGTTGTACCTGGACGGGTGGGGTTATTTCAGCAGGAGGGCAGGGGCCACAGCTCCTCTGGGTGGAGGGGTGTCCCATAATGCCAGGGACGCCTGGAGGGGAGAACAGAGCCTTGTGCCTACCCGCAGCCGTGGGTCCTTTAATTTGGGCACTGCCCTCCTTCACCTGCCTCTCCGGCCCATCCTGCACTACCCGCTGGTGCCCACCGAGCTGTGCGCTCCCTGCCGACGGAGAGGCTGTGGGTCTGGGAGGGTGTCTGGCTCTTCCCCTGCACGGCTGTGACCTGTCCCAGGCGCCGAGGTGCAGAGAGGTGGCCCGGAGTTTCCAGAGAAGGCAAAGAGCTCCAGTTGGAAGTGTGGGCACCGTGTAGTCTGGTGATGGGTGGCTCCTGCCAGCTGGGCCACTAAGGGCATCAGCGGACCACAGATAGGATGGCCCAAGGCTCCCATCTCTGCCCCCACAGCGGCTTCAGGACAACCCGCCCCGAAGCTGTGCCTCCAGCCTGGTCCCTAAAATGCCGAGAACGCGGGGCTGCAACCTCCTCTGCTCTCACAGCACAGAGATGGCACACAAGTGTCACTGCGGGCTGGGGCCGCCACCGCACACATACATGAGCAGAGATGAGGGCCCCGTGGACCGAGCCAGGGTCCCTGAACGCCACACAGTGAGCCCCAACCCCCAGGACCCCAGAATGGGACTGTACGTCGAGACAGGGCCTTCAAAGGAACATCGGGCTCAAAGGAAGTCAAGGCCTGGGCCCGCGTGGAGGAGACGTCTGGACACACACACGGCGGCAGAGACGGGCCCTTCCCCAGGTAAGGACCTCCAAGCTCGCCGGCCGAGGCCTGGGACACAGACCCCGTGGGTTCAGAGGGGCCGGCTGTGCCTCAGACTTCCAGCCTCCTCCACCGGGGACAGGTGTCACGCCACATCCCCAGGCCAGCCCCAGCCGGGAGCAGCGAGTCCTCCTATTTTTAGGTGAGCCAGTTAGGGCAGAGAGCCTGGTAAAGTGCCCAAGGTCACGCCGAAAGGACACGCTGGCTGTCAACACGGAAGCTGGGTGTAGCCTGGCAGGACATGACTCAGGGACAAAGAAGCGGGGACCGGTCATGCGCTGCTAGGGCCCCAGAGGCCAGCGGCCGGGGGACAATGCTCACTTCTGCAGGAGACGAAGCTCCCCTATCTCTGCACAAAGACCCACATAAGCGCCTGGTGTCCAGAGGCCTGAGATGCTCAGGTTAGCCACTCACAGGCACACCTG